CGACCCCCACCTCAGTAATAGAACCATGGAGTCACTGAGGTTGGAAAATCCCTCTGGGACCATCGAATCCGACCGTTCCCCAGCACTGCCAAGGCCACCCCTGCCCCACGTGGTGTTCCCCCCTGAGCCTGCCCGTGTCCCACAGCTGTTCCCGGCGGTGCTGCGTGCCATGAAGGGCCGGGCCGCCCGGCACTGCCTCACCCAGGAGCTCAACCTGCACGTGCAGCAGAACCGGGCGGTGCTGGACCACCAGCAGTTCGACTTCGTCATCCGCATGATGAACTGCTGCCTGCAGGTGGGACGGGGCTGGCGGGACCTGCTGCTCCCTCCTGGGAGCGGGGCCGGCCGTGGGAGTGGGGTCCTGGTCCCGGATCCCCCGTCACCCCTGCTCCCTTCCCCAGGACTGCACGGCCATGGACGAACACGGGATCGCCGCCGCGCTCCTGCCGCTGGTCACTGCCTTCTGCAGGGTGAGCTGCTCCGGGCCCCGCGACCTCAGAGTCCCTGGGGAGGGCAGAGGCTGAGGGTGGAAGGGCAGGGAGCCAGGGGGTTGTCCTGTTGGGGCTTCTCAGAGCACGACTCCTGCCCAAACCTTCCAGCTCCTCACGGGCTCCCGGGGTGGCTGGAACACCTGCGGGAAGGGTGCTGCTCTGGAGTTCCAGCTTCATCTGTTGCTCTGGAATTCCAGCTTCCTCCGTTGCTCTGGAATGCCAGCTTCATCTGTTGCTCTGGAATGCCAGCTTCATCTGTTGCTCTGGAATTCCAGCTTCATCTGTCTGTCAGGGCAGGCTGGGATGAGGTTCTACCTCCTGTAAAACAGTGGCACTGAGGGCTCTGGGTGGGCGCTGGGCAGGAGAAGAGTTTTCCAGGAGTCCTGGAGGGGCTCTGGTGCAGATGTTCCCCCTGCCTGCCCAAGGACTGGGGGCTGTCCCAGCAGGTGGCTAGAGCAGGGATTGCCAGGGAGCAGAGCCTGGCACAAAGGCCACGTTTGTATGGACCTTTTCCACCTTCTCCCTCCGCAGAAGCTGAGCCCGGGCATCACACAGTTCGCCTACAGCTGCGTGCAGGAGCACGTGGTGTGGACCAACATCCAGTTCTGGGAGGCCATGTTCTACTGCGACGTGCAGAACCACATCCGGGCCCTCTACCTGGACAGCAACGAGGAGAACCACGCGGAGGAGGTGAGGAGAATGTGACCGAGTCTGGGGATGATGAGCAGCTCTTCACAGAGGTCTGCAAGCTGATCGTGGAATCATGGAATGGCTTGGGTAGGAAGGGACCTTCCACTAGCCCAGGTTGCTCCAAGCCCCATCCAACCTGCCCTTGGACACTTCCAGGGATCCAGGGGCAGCTGTGTGCTAGTTGCCTCTTCTGGGCAACCTGCTCAGATGAGGATCAGGGACCTCATCCTGGTTCTGGGAGATTCCTGTGGGAACAGTGGGGTGAAGGCGGGTGGATCTGTCCATGCCAACAACCAGCACCTCCTTCCAACCCCTTCAGGAGAGCACGGAGGAGCCCCAGGAAGCCAAGTCTGCCCTGGAGATCGCGTCGGAGCAGCTGCGGCTCTGGCCCACCATGAGCCGGGAGAAGCAGCAGGAGCTGATCCAGAAGGAGGAGAGCACCGTGTTCAGCCAGGCCATCCACTACGCCAACCGCATGAGCTACCTGCTCCTGCCCCTGGACACCAGCAAGAACCGGCTGCTCCGCAGCTCCGGCCTGGGGGACGTCGAGAGCGTCAGCAACAGCTTCGTCACCAACAGGTGAGGGGACGCACGGGGGACACCCGTGGTGGGGACGGCAGCTCCTGGGGCACCCCGGTCAGTCACTGCCCTCAGGACACGGGAGGTGTCCCTGCTCGCTGCAGGGAGGTTGGACCAGATGGACTTCAAAGGTCCCTTCCGACCCCAGCCACGCTGGGATCCCGGGATTCTGTCAGGATTGAGGCAGGTTGTGGTGCCCAGGGGGATTCTGGGAGTGGGAGCTCTCCTGTGTTCCTGTCAGGAGTGGGAGTTTTCCTAGATCCATACCAGGAGTGGGAGTTTTCCTAGATCCATACCAGGAGTGAGTTTTCCTAGATCCATACCAGGAGTGGGAGTTTTCCTAGATCCATACCAGGAGTGGGAGTTTTCCTAGGTCCATACCAGGAGTGGGAAGTCTCCTGGATCCATATGAGGAGTGGGAGCTCTCCTGTGTTCCTATGAGGAGTGGGAGCTCTTCTGGGTCCATATCAGGAGTGGGAGCTTTCCTGTGTTCCTATCAGGAGTGGGAGCTGTCCTGGGTCTGTATCAGGAGTGGGAGCTGTCCTGGGTCTGTATCAGGAGTGGGAGCTCTGCTGGAGCTCTCCTGCATTCCTACGAGGAGTGGGATCTCTTCTGGGATCCCGCCAGGAGTGGAACCTCCCTGGAGCTGCTCCCGGCCCGGGTTGCAGCCAGGCAGGGCTGTTCCAGGCTGACCCTTCCCTGCTCCCCGGGCAGCATCGCCGGGAGCGTGGCCGAGAGCTACGACACCGAGAGCGGCTTCGAGGACGCCGAGAGCTCCGACGTGGCCAACTACGTGGTGAGGTTCATCAACCGCTTCGTGGACAAGGTGTGCACCGAG